CTCGCCCCCCTGCCCCGCGCCCCGCGCCGGGCCGCTCTCGCCCCCCTGCCTGCGCGGGCGCTCCCGGAGCCCGTCCTGCCCTGACTTGCGCGTCTTGCAACACCTCGCTCTGCCGTCCCGCTCCCATTGTCTAAACATGCGGATGGATAAAGTCCCGTTCTTGCTCCTTGCTGCCTTCCTGCAGAGCGCCGTGCCCGAGGCACGCGCGGATAACGTCCCGGCCTTTCCCTTTCTAATTTTTACTTTAGTGCTGCGAAAAGCTTGGCCTCTATCTGCTACCCTTAACTTGCAACTTGGCGGCTCCCCGCAGCGAGGCTCTTAGCCCCGGGATKAGCAGAGGGCGCTCAGTAAGCGCAGCCTGGCCGGGGGCTCCCTGTCCAGCCTGCCGGGGGGTCGCTGGGTGCCCACGCCGCCCTCTGGCTTCGCCGCGGTCCCGTTTGTCGCCCGTTCCTTAAAGAACAGCAGGGATGGAGCGAGTTTGCTCCTGCCAAAGCTGTTTGCGTTGGGCAGCCCTACAACAAATCAGTGATAATAGCTCCGCAAGCTGCTGCTTTTTGGACTTTTCCCACTTGGTGGATACTGAAATAAGGTGCATTTAGAAGTCCAGTCTAAAGGAACTGTTYTGGGAGTCAGGTAATGTTGTCCCAGGATACTGAATGGGGCCGGGCAGAAGCTATGGGACTGCGTGGCTGAATGTGACTTTATTAAAAACAGCAACAACAAAAATTAGAAAGAATTGCCTCTGTTAATCTGCCCTGCTTGTATACAGAGCTGTGAATATAGCTGTTTTTCTCCTTTGCTACCCTGTGTTTTCTCAAGAAAAAATTAATGCACATGATTAGAATGGGAGTGATTTTCTGTATTTTTGTAAACATCCCATGATAGAAACATTCACTAATACAAGGTGAGCTGGGAGGCAAGTTGCCATGTGCTTGAAAGGTTTTAATTACAGCAATTTGTGTAGAGTGTAGGGCCGAGCCTTGTAAAAGTGTGTAGTTTTACGTCCCTGCCGTATTTCTGTACGACTTGTTAAGGAGAGTGGCCAAGTGYCTCTGTTGGAGGCGTCAGTTCCTGGAAGTTCTTGTTCCGTTTTCGTTTGGTCTCTTTCTTCTTTTGGGGCTTCTGACTTTTGCCAGCTGCAAAAGCCTCCTCCTGGAGCCGTTCTCGCTCAGAGGCGCTTGGGAAGGTGCTTGCACGAACAGAGATGTGCAGAAGTGCTACAGCTTTTAATAAGGAAGCTATTGCTATGTAGGGAAGCTTAGAAGTATCCATTAATGTGTTAACATCTGGTTCACAGCAACTTGGGTTCTCTGTGTTTACTGGTACTAGGCTGACTCATCACTTAGTATCTTCTGAGCTCGAAAGCCCTGCTATCTGTTCTCCCATACAAAATTAACCAGAAATTATGCCAGTTACTGACTTTGTTTCCCTTTTGTTTCCCCTTTTCTCTGTAAGATATGCATGTGTGCAGCAGAACAGGAAATCTGTACCCCCGTGATTAAAGAAACTCAGTGATGTTCTTTTTTCAATAAATTTATTTTATTTGAAATATATATTCAGGAAGGTTAGAATGCTTTTAATCAACTCCCTATTTATCTCCTTTTTTTAGTGTGGCTTTTTTTCAATTTTTATTTTGCCCGTTTTTGCTTGAAGAGTGACCCACCTATTAGGATAGGATAGATAGAACCTATTAGGATTTTTTTCTGAAACTCAAAATAGTTTTAATCAGATTTGTGTTTCCTGGGTAAGAACTTTGCTGTCTTTACTGTGCAGGTGTCATTTAAAAAAAAAAGTAATGCCCATGCTACAGTTTTTGACACTTCTCTTTTCCCTGCAGGACATATCTTCTCGTGGGAGCTCCGAAAGCCAACACTACCCAGCACAACATTGTAGAAGGAGGCCAGGTGCTCAAATGCAACTGGAATTCCAACAGAAACTGCCAGCCCATTGTATTTGACTCCACAGGTAACCAGGGGGTGGCAGGAGGAGGGCTTCCCTGCACATCTTGTTATTCTGGTTTTGTTTTAGCCTGATGATGGGTTTGTATTCCTCCTATGTATTTTCCAGTGACCCTAAAACATCTAGCAACCTAATCCACTGTGGGAACAATCCCCCATGAGCCCAGTGGAAATTAGAGACCTATTACAAACGTGACATGTGAGGAAAGCTTTTTGAGAGTATAAGCTTCAAATTGAGCTTTTTTCTTTTCCTTTTTTTAACTCTTACGTATTTTTGCCCCGCGTGTACATGAACRTTTGCACTGTTGCTGATGGGAGCGCTCGGATGCCCTGGTGGGAGCCGGAGCCGAGTGTGAGGCGCGCTGCGGCCGAGCRGGAGCGATGCCCCCGCTCCCAGCTTCCCTGGGTCTCGGGCCCTGCTGCACACAGTGATGCTCACGAGCTGGCGGGAGAGCTCCTGCCCCAGCCCTCAGGGCTGAATCCTGGTTTCCACAGCCGGTTTCGGAGCAGTGGGAGAACACCGGCGTGGCAGGGGAGTGCATTAGCAAGACCCATATGGTTTGGCAGAGGAAGCACCTGAGCTTTTAAGGTCCACTTGGTTACAGTCTGTTCCTGGCTTTAGCCTGCCCAGTCATGTTCATTTATTTGCAAACCGTAGTGCAATAGAGAGAAAAAGCTCCAATTATTGATACCCAGATTTTTCAGGTCTTCGCATTTTTCTGAAAGTTGCGCTGTTATCAGTTCTTTTGTGTAAGAAAAAAAGATACGTAGTGATACATATGAAACCAAATAAAACCTATCTTTTTACTTCAGTCCACTGAAAATTTTCTAAGTGATTATTAAGGGCTAATAAGATCTAACGGACTATGGAAGTGTGAGGTTTTGTCTACATCAGTGTTAGCCAGCAATATTTTTCTTTTATTTTCTACTTTGGGCTTGTATTACACCAATGTGTGGAATACAAACAGCATGATCTTTAATTAACATTAAAGAACATCTGCCTCCGATGTAGCAGCCATAAAACTTTAACTGGGGAAGAGCAGCCTCCTCCGTGCCAGATGAAAGGAGGAATATAACTTCAAATGGGAATTGCAAAGCATTTATGAGTTTGTGCTGTGAGTGTTTGCAATAGGTTTTTCCATCTACCAGGCAAAATAAATAGAAACAAAGCAATGCTGCTGTGCTTAAGGTACGTGCTACAAGCAGTGTTTAGCTTATAGTATTGCCTTTAAGTACTGGGCATGTGAATTGCTTGAAATTTAGCAGTAGTAAAAATAGCAGACTCAAGATGTCTTTCAGGCTTACTTTAACTCATTGTGGCTCTGTTGCAAGGAATTGGGAAATACTGTATTTGTCTATTGTTCCCAAGTAAAAAGGGGCATTGTATTCCAGCATAATAAAATAATCAATGCTCCGAGACCCAGCAAAGTGTCTTTTATTTTTTCTGTTTGTATAATACAATGGCTGAATGGTGCGTTACAATGGCARTGTTTTACTGCCAATGCAGTTTAACCTCCCCTTGCACCTCGRTGTTGTAGGGAATTAGGGAAGTCTTGTGAGTCCCTCATGGGGAATGACAGTCAGGTGGTTTGACTGCTGTTTTATGGTGCTAATTGGAAGGTGATTTTTGTAGCTAACTAAGTGAAACCTCTGCAAGAATTCAGGTTCATCCAGCAGTGCTTCAGCATCTGTAACTGCAGAGTTTTTATTTAGCCATGGCAATACAAAGGAGACTGTTTTTGAGATTATATTCCTCTTTTGCTAATGGCAAAAGGGATATACATTCTGTATGTTTCCTTAGGTGAGTTTCTTTCTGATCATGTGCAGCTCGTGAGAAGCCAGTGCTGAAAGCGCTGACRCTCGTGGCTTTCTCAGGAGCTCTCAGCTGGCCTCTCCATCCATATCCAGCCCCATTCCAAGGGCTAGGAAATCAGTCTGGCCAGCTAGAAGGCGTGATGCTGCTCCTCTCCCTGCTGCTTGTGTGCTGTGCAGAGGAAAGAGTCTGTCTTGCCCTACCTCTGTAGGGTTCTCTATGCCCTCTTCCTCTGTGGTCCTATCATAAATGTATATGAGAGTATTGGAGGGGTCAAGGAAAGGGGGCCTGTCCTCCCTGCTCCTTGCTTTCCTGAAGAGCATATGCAGCTACGTTCTTCTAAGGACTTCCTAATGCTACTAGGGTGCAGGCTTGGATTCATGGTTACATTTTCTCCTTGCAGAGGCAGGCTTTAAAGTATGGCAGTGAATATTAAGAAATATATATATATAAAATATAATATATTTTTATATATATATATATAATATATAATTATCATCTTTAATTGCCGATGGCTTTGAAAACCTAGGAGCAATTCTTCAAAAGCAGGTGCTGTGTTTTCCCAAAACACAGTATCAGTCGTTGTTCCTGTTCTTTTATATGCTCTGGAAGATGAATACTATAATTATTATGGAGGAGAAAAAACAAGAAAATCATTTCTGTGTCAAGATGAATCTTTAGTTAGACAGTTGGGGTTTTCTTTGATCTTTTGTAACTATTTCTTTTAAGCCTTCTACTTTTCTAGTTCTTTTTTGTTATTTTCCTTCTGCTTTCTTCTTAAACATAGTCTTGGTTTTAAATTCCCTCCAACCTCATGGGTCCTTTCTCCTCCACAYCTGTTAAAAAGGCCACAGTGAACTCAGCAGCTCAGCACTGGCTGTCTGGGATTGGGGTTTATTTTGTGAGTTTTGCTGCTGACTCGGGCGCCTTCCTTGCCCAAGAGCTTGCTGCTTACGTGACAGAAATGCAGCAGCTATTGCAGAGCCACAGGGAAGGCACGTGCTGCCCTGTGGCAATTTTGGAGGAGTTCCTTGAGTACTCGCTCCCACTGATGTTTTTCCTCACTTGAATTTCCCCTTTCTCCAGCTCCTGCAGAAGAAAGCCGTACATAACTAAGCTGATAATCCCTGCCTCTGCAAAAATTGCTGTGTTGTGCCCTCCTTCCTGCCCACAGCAGCTCAGTTCAGTGAGGAGAGGAGCCGGACGCCTCAGAGATAGGATTCTGTTTGTGGACCTCTTGCACCTTGGGGATGGYTGGTTTTTGTAGAGCCAGTTGGTGTTTCCTGGTTCCTGGCACTCGTAGCCACACTGTGGAAACGTCACTGGTAAAGATTATGGTGCCCAGATGTTTAGTGAGGGCACCGTGCCAGCAAACCTCCTTCCTGCTTTGTAGAGTGTGGCGTACAGAACTCCTTTAACCTAAAATATGTAGAGAAGTACATTGATGTTTTCCTTAGCTTGTTTTGGAGAGATAAAGGAAAAAGGCAGCAAAAGCAGCCCCCTAACCTCATTAAAGTGTATGTTACAATTTTTAAACTGCTTGGCAGAAAAATATATATATTGTGTGACCGTTTCTACACAGGGTGCTTTGTCCTCTGAGGTGCCGATATATCAGTGACAGGGAGAGGGGACGTCCCCTGTGCCCGTGTCTCTGGGCCTGGCAACGGCTCTGCGTGTCCGCTCCGCACGTGAGCGCTGCCCGACGTAAAGGCGCTCCGCTCCGCTCTGCTGCGGGGCCTCCGGGCGCTTGGGCATCGACCTCCGTTGGCCTCGATTTAACGGGGTCGTGAGTGTGTGAAAAACGCATAGCAAACGTGTGGGGAAAATGCACTGAACTTCAGGAGCACTTATAGCTGTGATGCTTGTGCCTTGCGTACACGGCTGCAGCATCTCAGGGAATCTTTGGGAAAGGCTTGAAGCCAGCCAAACACTTCAGACTGGTTTTTCTTCCTCTTAGGAGCACGTGAGGGTTAAAGCTGCAAAGAAACYGAGCACACAAGCAAGGCTTCCTCCCATCAGCACAGTTTGCTGATCCTGTTTTAAGGTTGCGACAGTGAAAGACGATGCAGTGCTTGTTTCTGCCTCTCTAACTGCTTATGCTGCCAAGCCAGTGGTAGGAACAGATTTGTTAAAGAAGTGCTGTATACATGCTAAATTTTTCTTTTTTTACTTTGTTTCTGTTTATCTTGTTAATTCAATAGCTAAATGTAAACATTATGAAATTAAGATTTCTGGTGTTCATATTTTTAGTATGCCCTGGTTTCCTTCCTACATTTGCCATGCCATTGACACGATTTTCATTGAATTGCTATGGAAAATATTTGGGATTTTTTTTTTCCCTATGTCTCTGTTGCCATTTAGAATTTAAGAATATGTAGGTGGGTATATTTCTTCAGGGTAAGCACAGGGGGAAACTTGCATTCAAGATAGCATCATCTTCAAAATATCCATAAGCATATGACAATGCCATAAATGCCAGTATGWTTATATTACTTCATGTCATAAATGTAGAAAATTGGTTCCTTTGCMAAGTGCTGTAAACTTTCCATTCAAAAAAAGAAAAATTTCTGGGGCAAGATGGGTAAATCTTATTCCTTCTCCMTGCAAGATAATTTTGTGACTAACACTGTAGAGGTTTGTCTGTTTCAACCCATAGTGATAAGAGAACATCTAAATTTCAGGTAAAAAAAAAAAAAAAAAAGAAATTGAAGAGTAAGTGAGTAAGTGGGAAAATGTTTCTTAGTTTGCCTTAAAGTGTTTTAAAATTTTTTTCTCTCCTTATTACACTCTGCTAAGGTCCTAAAAAGTACCATTATTTGAACATATTTTTGCAGGCTCTGTGAGCCCTAGAACTAATCTGGCTTTTCCACAAAACTGACCGGAAAGGTGGTTCCTCCTTTAAAAAGCTTACAGAGAGGGCTTGGCTTCAGCCTCTTTTCTTGCTTAGCAGCTTCTTCCAGCAAAAACGTATTTCTTGCGAGTAAGCAGTAAAAGGAATGATGAACTTAATATAAAAGCCCATTTTCTGTTTCTGACCGTTTTTGAGGAGGAGGTCAAATAACACTTATTAAAGATGTATTTTTTTCTCCTTCCCTCCTCCTCATCCCATGGTCTCCAAGGATTAGCACAGCCAAGCTTGTGTAGATGGATCCACCCATYGATGAGAAGGGATTTCCACACACTTGCCCAGGGAG